AGGTCAGGTCAGGTTAGGTTAGATTAGGTTAGATTAGGCTAGGTTAAGTTAGGTTAGGTTAGGTTAGATTAAGTTAGGTTAGGGTAGGTTAAGTTAGGTTAGATTAGGTTAGGTTAGGTTAGGTTTCGTTCCGCGTGCGTTGGGATACGCTGCAGAGTTCTGTAGAGTTTAACCTTTTGAACTTGAAAGTCCACAGGACAACAAAACAATTTTCTAAAGTTTTTAAAAAATAATTTGTAAAGTTACAGCTGTAAATCCAATAAAAACAGAGTCATGAAGGCGTACGTGGAAATGTGACGTAAAGCTCAATGCGTTCTCAAAGTTATGATGCTTCAACAGTTAGGCAAGACGGCTGGCAAGCAAAATGTTGTGTGTGGATAACATACCATAAAAATTACTAACTACAGATTCATATATGAAATACATCAAACAGCTGTCATTATATTAAGAACTATGACAAACTTTTGAAGAAGCTAGAAGACTACTGAAAATTGGTTCCTTGAAACGCAGAGGACGAATGTCATTATTCTGTTTTAGGAGAAGCACAGTATGTGAACGATATCCCCAAAATGCCAGGGGAAGTGTACGCTGCCTTCAGTCTGACTACAGTCGCCCAGGGATACATCGGCAATATTAATCCAAGTCGAGCTCTGGTAAGATGAGAGTTCTGTACTTTCGGGAACATTCTGAATTAAGTTTCTGTGCATTAGACGCAAGACTTTGAAACTTTTTGATTTGTTAAATCAAAACGTGAAGGACATTACTGCCAGATCTTATTAGTAAAACCTAGAAACCCCTAAGATCAGAGTCACAACTAATAATCTCTAAATATATAAAATCACGCATACAAACAAAACTGTTTACACTTTGAAAAGACACTTAGTGCTAAACACGTTTCGACATCAAGATTTCATCATCAGTGGGAAACAAATTAATTCATATTAAATGATAAATTCATACGATTCTTTGTTATAAAGGATAAGAGGTCGCACTTTATAAAACCATATTTGTTTTTAAGCATGATTTTATATATTTTGATAACACTGGACGGTATGAAAGGTTTTAAAATTAATATTCCGTGGTAATAATTAGAAACTGATGCAGCTGTTGGCACAAATTAAAATCAACATTGAAAGACCTAGAATTTACCATCATTTTTCACATAATGTGTCTGTTAGTTAAAACTGTTTACAAGTGCTCAGTCAAGACGAGGCATTCTTTGTATTATGTAACAGAAAAAAACATCTCTGACAGAGTGAGCCTTGGAACGCTCAGTCCTTGTTCTCGTAAAAGTCATCCCGTTGAAAGCAATCTTCACAATTTTTCTTACTATATTATAACAATATACTAAATAAAATTTGATCAAAAAATATGTAATTTTTCCTCTGTATTTACAACCAATGAGTACTTTTAATTAACAGAGGTTTGGTATGAAACTGATATAAACAAGTTAATTCCAGACAGTGGAAATCTGTTAATAGTTCTAGTCAGTGGTCCTTCATCCTAAATTACACGCTGATTTATGGTGAGATTCAGGAGTTAGTAGGATTGCCAATGTGGGATTTGGCAACAATTATTATAAAAGTAAATATAATTCATACGCGGTAGATCACATCTCGTACGAGAGTTGGCTATATGCAAATTCTGATATGTAATTTGTTGTGTACACTCTCATTTCAGGAGATGCCAGGGGTAGTTGCCTTCCTGTCTGCTAAAGACATTCCAGGAGAAAATTCCTTTATCCCTTTGGGATTAATTTCACTGTTTGAAGATGAAGAGGTATGCTGTGTCAATTTTAGGATGAAAGAGTTAGACTTAAGAGAAACCATCTTCAAGGTTCCTTCTGCAGAATATCATGTGCCTCCCTACACAACCCCAGAGTTAAATTCAAAACACCGGTATTATAAACAGTAACAGAGAGGTTTTCATGAAACTTGGTATAAACATCACGCCACAATGGATCTCCCCATCTTGGTAACTTTTAACCTTTGAGATGATAAAGTTGCGTCATATTGTGATAAATATATATTTGTTTAAATCTTGTCAGTCAAATCACAATAAAATTCCTATTAAATATTAAAATATTACTAAAATTAACATTTAAATATTTAAAATGATGTTCTCTATCGAAATGTTCGATTTACATTAGAACATCACTTTTTACGCGACATGTTTCGGTTCTAAAAGAACCATCTTCAGGTGTATAAAACCTTTGATATCCAGCCTTTAAAATTTATGGGTGCTGATAGTTGGAGGTCAGATGTAAACGTGTATTTAAATGTAGAGTTTATCAGAAAAAAATCATTGTACCTAAACTCAGAATAAAAGCTGGTATCAGAGGGATCAATGATATATGGGAGATATCTATTTCAAATCCTCTTATGGATCAACTATCCTGACTGAATGGATTTTCTGAGTCCTCCGTGCAACTTCTAGCTTTTATGATACGAGAACAGAAAATTTAATCTTCTTAACTATGAAACTTCAACTCAATCTTTAACCCCAGGGTCAACATTCTAGCGGCAACACGTATGCTGTAACAAATGCTGAATTATGCCACGATAATTTCTACAACATAATTTATTAACCTCCCACATATTACCCAAATGCAACCGATACGGTTTTATAAGCAGCCAAATATTTTACAGTATTAATGTGAGGTTATGTTCAGCTCTTTTGTAGTGGCGATATAAAATACGCGGGTCAGCCACTGGGTCTAGTGCTCGCCGAATCTCAGGCTCTGGCCCACAAAGCAGCTCTAAAGGTGCAGGTGGAGTACAGCAACGTGAAGAAACCAAACATTGACATGAGAGAAATCATCGCTTCCGGTGACAAAACTCGAATAAGAACAGAACGAGAGCCAGAAAATGAGTCACAGGGTAAGATTTCAGCATTTACAGGACACGCTGTATTTAACGAAGTCATTTCATTCGTCTTTCTTTCCTTTAGTCTATCTACAGGGTGTTCCGGGAGGAAATGTCAAGACTTTATCAGTTGATTCTTAGGGGCAATGCCAAGTAAAACCTGTTATATCAAAATGGGGCTGATTTTTAATGGTTATCGAGATAATGCAGGTCTCTGCATCACAACCTATGCCGATCTCAACATGTTGGATCAGTGAGTTAGGTTATGTTCAGTCTGCGTTGCGTATTCAGAGTGTAAACAATTAGGAGCATTTTGGTATCTGTTTCAGAATATCATTTAAAGCAATGCAAGCAGTTTTCTCATATGAAAAATATGCAAATATGGTATTTGTGTGTGGTTTTTGTGATTGAAATGCTGCCCGAGATGTCTCAGAAAACATTTTGGACTACTATACTGGTATTTAGTGTGCTTTTATTTGGTATTTATCACAATTATCAATAAATAGTCATCTAAGATCAGCTTTTTATTATTATTATTCTTTCATACAAATGCAGACACCTGCGTTATCTCGGAAGAAGTCATGGTCATTTCTTTTCCGGACACCCTGTATATGGCCAGTGGATTTTGGAGGAAAGTTTCTGTACCATACACCACTACTTTAACGAGTAATCAGTAATTATTATTCCATAAAAATGTTGAATCACTGACAACATTAAGGATATATTTGGCAATTTTATAGAAAAGTAACCTAACACCAGCAATTAATTGGGAATATACATGACGTAAAGATCTACAAGGAGATGTCAGAGAGATGTCAGGTTTTTAGTTCCCCACAGAAACAATATGTGCACACCTCTTGTCCCATCCATGCGTGCTACATGTCCCGCCCATCTCATTCTTCTCGACTTAATCACCCTGACAATATTGGGGGAGGTGTACAGATTTTTAAGCTCATAATTAAGCAGTTTTCTCCATGCCCCATCGTCTTCTCTCCTAGGCCCAAATATCCTCCTCAAACACCTGCAATCTGCCTGAAATCAGGATCGAATAGACTGTCTGATATATGGACACATTATATTTTCGATTTGCATGTAATTATTTTTATTTCTAAGACCAGTAATTAGCAGGCTGATACGTAACTTGCATTTCAGGAGATTCCAATTAAAAATTTTGTTCAAGACATGTTTCTCATGGTACACCTCATAAATACCAAAATATCAACTACAAATAGGGCACACATGACCTCATACTTCCAAATTCTTCCCTTCATGATTTCTGTCACTTTATTCGATGATACATAACCTCCAAAGTTAAAGAATGTTATTAAATTATCTTAGCGTAAATCATTCACTAGCAACGAAGTGAATCAGACGTCCTATTTAATACTGCAGAAACTGTAAGCTCTCTCGAAATTCAGTCTATTAGATGTTAGAATGTCTAATTTAATTTATTCTTGTCATCGTACGCAGGTGATTCAGAAGCCACGCACGTGATTAAAGGCAGCTTTGATATGGGGTCTCAGTATCACTACACAATGGAAACCCAATCGTGTGTCTGCATCCCAAATGAAGACGGAATGGACGTTTATCCCGCCACGCAGTGGATGGATCTGACACAGATTGCAATTTCGAAAGTCCTCAATGTCCCTGAAAACAGGTCTGTTAAACCTAACAGCACAGCCTGAAGCTACAGGACGATTCTGACTGACACTGAATTTCATTCTCGGTGTCTCTACGCCTTTTCCAGTATAAACATCAACGTACGACGACTGGGTGGAGGGTACGGGGCGAAGATTTCACGCAGTGCGATGATATCCACTGCATGTGCGCTTGGAGCTCACATCCTCCAGAGACCAGTGAGGTTTGTTATGAATCTAGAAACCAATATGGCCGTTGTGGGCAAGAGATACAGCGCGGCCTTTGATTACGAGGTAATTGACTGAGATTTATGCATGGCTATAATAATATGGATGCAGTAATCTGGTTGTGAGCCAATGTTTCGGAGACACATACTGCCACCATCATCAGGGCTTCATTCTATTCTAACAATATCAGCTGAGAGGATTGGTTCTCAATGAGCATGGCATGTAGGCACCTAAAAGAATTTAAGAAGAAATTTCTCTCCACGAAAAAGACTGCCTCTTAAACCCTACCTTCCTTTCTGATTCCTAAAAAAGGGATATTTCATATTGGCCCAAAGACAACTTTGTATCACCTCATCCATGGCTCTAATCAGCTGATTCCTGTGATCCTGGATTGAAATTTCTCAGGATAAGTTCCTGGTGAAAGTGATAACAGCTTTGGATTCCCGAACAAGAATAAAATTCTTAAATCACTGAATAACTGTGAACTGCTTTGGGAATGCAGATTACCAGAAGCTAACTCAGATATTGGCAATGAAAACATTAAAGGATGTTTGTTCAATTTTTATCAGTCTGATCACAATAAAATATTATTATTAAATATTAAAATATTATTACAATTAACATTTAAATATTTAAAATATATTAAAATGATGCTCTCTATCGAAATGTTCGAACATTGTAATTGCGTCATATTGTGAATATTATAACAATTATTTATTTTAATCCGTCTGATCACAATATTTAAAATTTCTTATAATTAAGATAATAAAATATCATTCATGTTCCATATCGATTGATCGATTTACATTTCGGAACATTTACACAACATGTTTCGGTTTTTATAAAACCATCATCAGGTGTAAAATATATCTAAGAACTTAAAACTCAATTATGATTTCTGTAGTTTTTTGGTGATGTTTCATTACGTTTGTTTTTCCATTTTTGGGCGAAGGTGTTGTTTTTCTTAAATGTTATTAGATGTACATATCGGCCAAAGATGTGGGAGTGAGTGTCCCGATATGTCCAGAAGTACTAGTGTCTTCGAATAGGATTAAAATAAATAATTGTTTTAATATTTAATAATAATATTTTATTGTGATTAGACTGATAAAAATTGAACAAATATATATTCAACACAATATGACGCAACATTATCATCTCATTAAAGGATGTGTTTTCAGGTCGGAACAGATGATGATGGAAAGATCAAATACATGAAGACAAATGTTTACGAGAATTCCGGCTGTCACTGGAATGAACCCGTCTCCTCATCGACAATAGAGCACATGAAGAGCTGCTACGACTCAAGAACTTGGGCAGTGGCCGGTTTCAGCGTGAGGACGGACACTGCATCCAACACGTACTGCAGGGCACCGAGTAAGCGAGAAATCTATTTTGAAGGTTTAATGCCAAAATACGTCATTCATTCTTTCTACTTCAGAGATAAACAAATGAAATTAATAAGATAGTGCAGTTGCGTCATATTGTGACTTATTAAATTAAAATTAAATTATTTGGTTTTTCCGTCAAATCACAATGTATTTAAAATAAGATAATTAAAATAATTAAAATATCAATCTGTGTTCCATATCGAATAATCGATCGATTATTCGATATGGAACACAGATTGATATTTTAATTATTTTAATTATCTTATTTTAAATACATTGTGATTTGACGGAAAAACGAAATAATTAATTTTAAATGAAATTAAGTAAACTTTGGACTATTTCTTGGAAGTTTTTCAATTCTCAAGAACCAAAATCTAGGGTACAAGATTGATTATATGTAGATAAAAAAATGACAACTCCACCTGATGCGTGTGAAAGTTATTCAGCGATTCATTTTTGTTTAAAGGTTCCACTGAAGGAGTTGGATTTATTGAGAATGTTATGGAACACATTGCCAAGGTCGTTCAAAAAGATCCAATAGAAGTCAGGATTAAAAACTTAAAACAGGATGATTCCACTATGCGAAATATGATAAAAGACCTGAAAGTGAGTGCAGAGTACGAGGAACGAAAACATAACATTGACGAGTTCAACAAGGTAAGTGCGACAACAAGGAGTGCCAACAGTTACTACTCGCACAGACAAGTCCCCATGCGACACTGATATGCTCTGTTCCTTTACCTGCTTGAGAATTTTACTCGCCTCTGTGGCTGATCTGACCAGAACGCCGTGAAATATTTCCACTCGACATCTACCATTTCTACGTTCATTTATTTTAAATATGACAGCAGAGAAAGAGTTTTCCAAAAAAAGAAGGTATACAGTTAACTGAAAGGACTAGAAACTAACTAACTAACTAGATGGCTTATGGAACCCGAAGGTTCATCACCGAATTAACCAAAGCCCTCCACCGGACCCTGTCCTGGGCCAACAAAATCCAGTCTCCTTCAACTCCTATCTCCCATAGATCCCGCCTGATATTATCCTCCCATCTACGTCTAGGTCTCCCCAGGGGTCCCTTTCCTTCAGGTGCACACCTCTTGTCCCATCCATGCGCGCTACATGCCCAGCCCATCCCATTCTTCTCGACTTAATCACCCTGACAATATTGGGGGAGGAGTACAGATTTTGGTGAACACATTCATTTCCAAAATACCACTTAATTTAGAATGATTTAGTTCAGTTCAGATAAATTTTCTTTCATTTCTGTGCATTGGTTCTATTTGGGAGAAATCCATTTTAATTTTGGGGCATGATTCACGTGTGGTTTCATCTTCCTGTTCTTTTGAAAACAAAGATAATTATCAATACATCTCACTCTGTGTTTATTGACAATTTATCTCATCTCTGATAACACCCTTTTTCAGTTTATTTATAACAGTGCTACAAAAATTATCACAGCAAGTTCAGTGCTGTCTTCTTTCCAACAGAGTTTACAGCTAGAAGCATTTTCCTCAGTTCTGAAGTGTATTAATCCCACCTTGGCATTACATTATCGTAAATAATACCAGCGTCCATCACTGTATACGAGAATTTTTTGATGAAAACAGCTGAAATCATACATTTTCTTGTAATTTATCTTTCTTTCCAAACATTTATTTACTTATGACCTCCAGAGAAATGTTGTCCATACCAAATTTCATGAAATTCGATCAGTTAATTTCTGTAATACTGACGAGTACATCTCACGAAAATAAATAAGAAAAAACTTGTAACCCTAGAATGTATGTGCCAAAACTAGTTGAAAGATTAAAACAATGTCATATTAGGGGAAACAGAAATGTTTACTGAGTTTTGCATAAAAGAAAGTTAAAGCAGTTCAAACATAACCTAACCTAACCTAAACTAAGCTAACCTAACCTAAACTAACCTAACCTAAACTAAGCTAACCTAACCTAACCTAAACTAACCTAAAGTAACCTAACCCAACCTAACCTAACCTAACCTAACACAACCTAACCTAATCTAACCTAACTTAACCTAACCTAACCTAACCTAAACCAA